TCGTCCACTCAAAGGCAAACAGATACTGAGATGAGGGATGAACTCGGATGCAAAAGAAGGCATCCTTGTGTCAAGCACAGTAAACCATTTGGCATCTTCAGGGATCTGGACTAATATATTATAAAGATTGGTCACAAGTGGATGTATAGGGACTACTGCATCATTTACAGCTCTAAGGTCTTGCAACAGTATTCCCCATTTGGCTTAACAACTGGCAGAATAGTGGCATTTCATGGATACTGACAGGCCATGTTTTAAGAAATTATCTACGCGCAGTTGCAAACCTTTCTTGCTTCCAACTTTATAGGGTACTGTCTCGTGTTAGGATGTGACTTCTGGCTTAAGGCTAGTTTTTACAGGTTGGGCATTTATAGCCTCCCAGGGATTCCTTTGTCCCAAGGAAATTAAGGAAGGTTAACTGTGTGTAGAATATGACTGGGAATAGGCCCTTGTTCTTCCAGCTGATTTGTCTTAGTCAGAATCAAGAAAAGGGGCTGCTCGGGTCCTCCTAATCATAATATGACTCTGAAGGAGCCCAGAAAGTCTCTTCCAAGTAGTGGGTTAGGACACTCAAGGCACAGCTAAAAAGGTGTGTGAGATCAAATGCTGTTCAAATTGACAAGTGAGAGGCCAATGAAGAAACAGGTGTGAGGCTTTCCTTTGACACCAGTCACAGTACAGCTTTTGGAGAAAAGAGGCACAGTGTGAGAGATCAGGGCAGAGTAAGTGGCCCCCGTATCAATTAAAAAACTGGTTTTCTTACCTGCCAAGTCAAGGACCACCCAGGGCTCCTCGAAGGAGATGGACATCTCGTGAAGGGGAAGCTGCCAGAATGCCCAGGCCACCTCAGTCATCCATGGCCATCTTAGGAGCAGGAGCCCCCCTTCCCCTTCGGGACTGGGGACAGTCCCACTTCCAATGACCTGTTTGCAGACTGGGCATGGACCAAGGGGTTATTTTTGGCATTTTGGGGCCCACTGGCCGGTTGACTTGCATTTGAAGCATTTCCCCTTGCTCGTTTTACCTCCAGGGGGTTGGTTAAACTTCCTTGGCCCCCTTGGTTTGTCCTGAGGTTGCAAGGCATGGCTGACAGCTATGGCCCTCAGTTTAACTTGAGCCCTGGCCTGAGTGTTTTCACATCGGGTATTCTCCTTCTCAGCTGGATCTCAATTATCAAATACCCCAAAGGTCACCTCTAGGAGTTGGGGCATCGGGGTTTGTGGGCCTAATTGTAACTTTCAGAGTTTCCACCTAATATCAGGGTCAGACTGGCTGATAAAATGTTGTCCCAGCCGGGATTGGCCCTCAGGAATGGGTGGATCGATGTTAGTAAATTTTCTAAATGGTGACAGAATCACAGGTTCTTTTAATATTCCTGTCATTTTTTGCCTATGTCCATAACTGAAAGGAATGTTAAATTTCAGTTAGAAATGAGGGAAAATAAAGATCAAGCTCATAGGTCCCCCTAAATTCTATTCATGGATCCAAGGTTAAGAATATCTTGTCTAAAATTTCTAAAAGAAATCGGGAATCCTTATTGTATGCCTATCAGAAACCATGTAGGTGGTGTGAAGAAAGGGGTGGTGCAGAGCCACCTACAACTGTACAATTACTCTATATCCTTTATTTTGTATGTTTGGTTTATCTGGGCTTTTTGATTCTTTGTCTTTCTCAGCATGGCTTTTATATTGAAGTAAAATTGAAACTAGTTAGTTCTATTTGTTACATGATGTTCTATTTTTGTTTTGTTTGCTCGGATTCTTTTTTTGTTTGATTTTTAAACATATTCCTTAGTCATAGTGGAGGCTAAAACTGCTGATTACTTGGGATCATTTCTTCACGCTATGTCTACCTTCTATTTGCATAGATAATTGGACTTTAAGTGTGGATAGAATTAAAATATCCAACTTCAACCTCTGTCTGTTGCCTTCAAAGGTTTTGAAGTAGATAAAAAAAATTCCCAGGCTTCCCTGGTGGCACAGTGGTTGAGAGTCCGCCTGCCGATGCAGGGGATGCGGGTTCGTACCCCAGTCCGGGAGGATCCCACATGCTGCGGAGCGGCTGGGCCCGTGAGCCATGGCCGCTGAGCCTGCACGTCCAAGGCTCCGCGACAGGAGAGGCCACAGTGGTGAGAGGCCCGCGTACCGCAAAGAAAAAGAAAAAAATCCCTCTTTCCACCTTTTTGACCCTCTCTCTCCTTGGTTTCCCAAACACTGCATTCTCCTGGACCTCTCTTGTCTTCCTGCTTCTCTTTTGGTCCCTTGTGAATCTTCTCATCCGTTTCACACTCTACCAACCAGAAAAATGTAAGCATTCCCCCCACATTAGGCTTTGGGCTCGTTTTCTCTTCTTTTTTTCCCCTTGATAATCTCTCTCAATGCTCACCCCTTTCCCGTGTTGCTCGTCAGTTTTAATGGACCCTCTACCCTCTACTGATTGTCATCTCCCTTCCAGTAGTATACATGTGTGCTGTCAGAGTTAGACCCCTAAAATGTACTTGGTTGCTCTCAAAAGCATCAAAATTAAGTCCAAACTTCTCTTCCTCGTTCACAGCCTCTACAGTGTGGTCCCTACAGATACTGCCAGTCTTCTCCACCATGGCAAGCCCCTGCCATAACTCTCTTACCTCACACTTCCCTTGGCCAACCAACTCTCAAGTATCCAAATACACCTAGAATATCTTTCTCTTCCAGCTGACCCATAAAAATTATATCTTTGAAGACTCATTTCAAGTCCCATTTTCTCCAGTTCCAGATGCTCCCAACCTAATTATTTTTTCCTCACTGCTCATGTTCCAGTGGTACTTTAGATGGTGCCTCATCCATCTAATTAATTCTTACTCTTGTTTTGCCATTTCTTAGAGCCTACCTCCTATTTAAATCATTACATATGAGACTGGCTCTTTCACTAGATTATAAATTCCAGAAGACTAGGGAGTTTTATCATAGTCATTTCTGTGTTATGTACAGTAAATGACTTGCTTGTCCTGTGCTCATAAGGTCTCAACAAGATTTAATTCAGCTGTGGGTAGTTGTTGGATGATTGGACCCTAAAATTGTGAATGTCTCTAAGACATATACCCAACCCCATTTTGGCTATGATATTCATCAAATACACAAACATATTACTAAGAGTATTGTTTTTGTTTCTAAAATTGGCTAAATGGAACAAGTCTCATTAAAATAAACAGTTAACAGTTTTAGTGAGAAGTTCTGGATTCTGTATTAGAAGTTGAAATTCATTCTATAAGTATTTCTTGAGCCCTAATTATGTATCCAGCACTAGGTATGCATAGCTTTGAATAAAAAGATCTCTGTTCTAGAAGAGCTTACACCCTTACCCTAACCCTGTCTTCATAAGAGTTTGGAGTTTCCTGTCAAGAGTTGCAGGAGAATTTACATTTCTTAAACTGGAAAAAAACCCTGTTTATTCCTTTATTGAAATGTTATCGGGACTTCCCTGGTGGCACGGTGATTAAAAATCCTCCTGCCAATGCAGGGGACACAGGTTCGAGCCCTGGTCCAGAAGATCCCACATGCCGCGGAACAACTAAGCCCGTGCGCCACAACTACTGAGCCTATGGTCTGGAGCCCGTGACCACAATTACTGAGCCCATGTGCCACAACTACTGAAGCCCACGTGCCTAGAGTCCGTGCTTTGCAACAAGAGAAGCCACCACAATGAGAAGCCTGCGCACCACAACAAAGAGTAGCCCCCTCTCGTCACAACTAGAGAAAGCCCACATGCAGCAACAAACACCCAACACATCCAAAAATAAATAAATAAATAAATTCATAAAAAGAAAAGTCAGGGAATTTCCTGGTAGTCTAGTGGTTAAGACTCTGAGCTTTCACTGCTGAGGGCCCAGGTTCGTTCCCTCGTCACGGAACTAAGATATTGAACTTCCATGCCAGTGACCTTTCAAGGATGCCCCATGGTATTCAGATTTTAAAAAATAATAATAAAATAAAATAAAAATAAATAAATAAATAATAAGATTTTAAAAATAAAAATAAAAATAAATTTAAAAAACTAAAATGTTATGTGTCACCTGGCTAACTCAGAAGTGAAAACCACACAGCCTTAGCTGCAGCACCAACGCAAGCCACAGTGTATATGTTGTCAACAAATAAGGAAGTATAAAAAGAAAAGACACATTTATTAGGATATTGCTGACTGTAGTTTATTTAGGGCTTGGTTATTACTATTATTTTATATATTCCCTATCTCCAACTTTAATAAAGCCCTGCAACAGGCCGGGTTTTATTTATTTATTTATTTATTATTACTTATTTTTTTGTGGTACGCGGCCCTCTCACTGCTGTGGCCTCTCCTGTTGCGGAGCACAGGCTCCGGACGCACAGGCTCAGTGGCCATGGCTCACGGGCCCAGCCGCTCCGCGGCATGTGGGATCTTCCCGGACCAGGGCACGAACCCACGTCCCCTGCATTGGCAGGCAGACTCTCAACCACTGCGCCACCAGGGAAGCCCAACAGGCCAGTTTTAAATTTCCTTCTTAGCATCATTTTATGCCTTAGGCTGGGAAGCACTAACAGAGGTTTTAAGCAATAGTAATAGCATTTACTATTTTTATTTTCTAGTAGTAATAAAACTAATAATATTTTAGTTTCTAAACTAGTTCTAAAAGATGTCCAACATTGTACTAGAAACTGGAGATATTACTAGAGGAAGATGCTTGTGTAGGAAGCTCTGGGCTTTTTCTCAAGGCTAGTTTAGCACTGGACATTAGGGACATATACCATGATTTTCTGAAATATGAGTGCTAACTGAGGAGAAATTGAACATAAACTCTCAGAACACAGTAGATTAGCATAGGGGAAATGTTAAATGCCTTTGTTGAAAAATGTAAATTATGAGGAACATATACATTCAGAAAGAGTAAAGAGTATTTTTCAGATGTCTCTGTATGCATGTGTAAAGATCTGTGGCTTCAAATTTGACTAGATTTTGTTTGTTTGTTTTTCAAAATCTTTTCTAAGAATTGCCCTGGTGGAAAATATTCCTGAAGGCCTTACCTATTCAGAAAATGCACCATTTCACTTATCACTTTTCCAAGGCTGGATGAATTTACTCAGCATGGCCAAAAAGTCTGTTGACATAGTATCTTCCCATTGGGATCTCAACCACAGTCATCCATCAGCATGTCAGGTAAGCTGCATCCTCTAATGTGTGTGACAGTTTTACTTATGTGCATTTTATACTCAATATTCTTGCTTCCACTCCTCAAGTTCAAGCTCATTTTTTCAGTCTATCTATACCCATAGTTCATGTCCATTATTACATTTGTATGTGTGTGCCATTGTTAATCGTAGGTTGCTCAGCTTCTACTAGAATGCAGTGATTTCAAGGGCAAAATCACATCTCATCTTTGCAAACAAGAGGCTCTCTATGCAGCTCTGCTGTATCGGACAACTTCAGAGGTGTCTTGTGGTGTCCATTGATGGCATACCCCAGAATTCTGCTTTGCACAACCTGCATGTTTACAGTTTCAATTCCGTAACTGCTTGCTGAGACATTTAATTGGTTAATTGGTGTCCTAATTTGTCTTTGTGGCTCAGAGCCAACTTTTTAAATAGTGGAGTCACACTTCCCACTATAGCTGTATATTCTTGACTCTGTCATATTTGAGTGAAGAGGAAAAAGAAATTTACTAGTTATAAGAACAGCCTTTAGAAAACTGACTAAATGATCTGAATGATTTCTGAATGAAATGTCCTGGAGACAAGAAAATGATCCTGGTAACCTTTGTTTTTTTTTTGAATTTTATTTATTTTTTTATACAGCAGGTTCTTATTAGTCATCAATTTTATACACATCAGTGTATACATGTCAATCCCAATCGCCCAATTCATCACCCCCCCACCCCCACCCCCACCCCCACCCCCACCCCCAGGCCATTCACATAGGTGTTTAAATTGCTCCATGTTTAGGACCAGACACCCGGTAACAATATTTTTTTTAAATAAATTTATTTATTTATTTTTGGCTGCCCCCACCCCCCCGATCCTGGTAATCTTTAGCATGTTTTTCTTTATGTTGGTACAACCATGATAGCACTGAGCTATCAAGTATATGACCATTGCCCTATACTTAAATGTCCTATGGGGGGGGTCAAGGATAAAATTAATTTTGTCTGTTTGTATACAAAATGTGTTGGCATTAAGCCTATAATCATTACCTCATTGGTGCTTTGATTTGCTTCAATTATACTACTTTAAAGTCAAAAGATATTAGAAAATAGGTACAAATAAACAAAAATCCCATAAAGGCTATACTAAAGAAGAATTGGATAATTTTACTAATTATGTTCTGCACTGTTCTACCTCTGCTGAAGCAGGTGCTTCAGGTACTTATTGCAGCATTTATCATCCCAAAACTTAGTGGTTTATAAAAATAACAATTATTTATTTATTCATGATTCTGGACAGCGTTTGTCAGAGAACTTGTCTCTGATCTAAATAGTGTTGGCTTAGGTGGCCTACCTGGGGCTGGAGGGTGCAAGATGTCTCCTCACATATGAGCATCTTACCTCAGATGGCTGGAATGTCTAGCAGCTGGCTGGACTTCTCTCTCTCTGTATGTATCTATCATCATTCAGTAAAGCAGCTTGAATTCTTTACCTGTGGTTATATCCTAAAAGGGCAAAAGCAGAAACTGTGAGGCCTCTTAAGACCTGAGCTCTAGAATCCCAGTTGCTTCCACCCTATTCTATTGGTCAAAGCAAGTCACAAATCCAAGATGAGAGGGGTAGCATCCATATGGGAATGTGGAGAATTGTTGGCAGGCATCTTTGGAAATTATATACCACAGTGCACTCTGGCCACAGCAATCCATCTGTCTCTCCCACATACAAAATGCACTCCTCATCCCCCAAAACTTGTATCCCATTACAGCAAAGGCTCAAAGTCTAGGATCTCTTCATCTGCATCAGGACAGGATCTGAATAGGACTCCTCATGAGGGCTTCTCTTGATTTGGAAACCTGTGAACTAAAAAGACAAGATACATGCCCCCCAATGCACACTCCCAACATACAATGGCAAAATAGAGATGAGACAACTACGATAGATACTTCTGTTCAGAAGGGGGAAGTAGAGAGCACAAATTAGTCATTGAACCCACAGCAGTTTTAAAAGCCAACCTGGCACACATCACCAGTTTTCCGAACTTGGTGAACAGGGAATGTCTCTAGACTGGGATCTAGTTCTGCTTCCTGGGGGTGCTTTCCTAATCTGCCGTTCTCAGAAACTCTTTGCTCCACCCTCTGTGTTTTTCTTTCTTTTTCATAAGAAATAACCTGTGCTTGCTTCAGACTTATTTTCTTGATTGGCTTTCTACCAGTAGAAATCTGAGGCCCCAGAGACCTCTTTTCATGTTAAACCATCTCTGTCCTTTTTTAGTCCAAAATGGAAAAACCCCTTAAAAACTTCTGTAGACTTTCTATGTATCCAGTTATAATCCACTCTATTAGCAAAAGGCCGCACCACAAATAACTCACAGGTGGTCTTTTTCTACTTTGGACTGTGACTCAAGATGCTTCGGAACCTCACCCTTGACTTTTCCAGGAGCCCTTTTGAGAGGCACCCCACCACCACCATCGCTTTTAATCCTTCAGAGGTCTCAACATGGAATCGTACAGCCACAGCTTTGATTTCATCTTTACCCTGAGGGCCATTTCTCATTTTGAGAATGTTTTGCTCAATTGAGAGACTGTCCTAGATTTTCTACATTTCTTTCAAAATTCTGCATGAAAATGAAATAGTTTCTTCTTATCATATACCACCAAAACTTTGATTGATAATCTGCCTGAACAGTCTCCTTAGCCAGATCTCTAAATCCACTAGTCATATTATATATCTCCTACTTTACAGCAGGCAGTAGCGTTGCCAAACTTTCTACCATTACTTCCTCAAGGCCTCAAAAGCAATTCCTTCACTGTTCTTCCAGCCTTGAGTAACAGAATGAGATTCCAGCCCCTACCACCACCAAGTCCCAGAGACAATGCCACATGCTTTAAGTTTTTGCAACAGTAGTTTCTATTTAATTTTTTATTGTGGTATAACAAACAACTCCAAAACGTATTCATTATTATTTCCTATGATTCTGTGACTTGGTTGACAGTTCTTTTGCTTCAGTAGTGCTGACTGGGATTACTTATGCAGTTGTGTGTAGGTGGGAGGGTAGCTGAAGCTGGACTGCCTGAGGCTGTGGACACGTCTCATTCTCTGCATGTGGGCACTCATCATTCAGTAATCTAACCCAAGGTTTTTATAAGGCAGCTGGATCCCAGGAGAGTGAAAATGAAAACTACAAGACCTCTTAATTCCTGGGCTCCCAGAACTTTACTTTGCTACATTCTGTTAGTCTGACAAAGTCACATGGCCAGGCCACAATCACTGGAGGGGCAAGAGACTCCAGGAGGAACATACATGTACAGGAATGGGAGGAATTGTTGGCAGCCAAATTCCCAGGTGGTTTGTATACTCACAAACCTTTGAAAAGAGCTGAACCAAACCATTCTGACCTCTTGCTCTATGAGCCCAGCAAACCCTCCTGGTGTTCAGGCTCTGGGAGAAGATGGGTCATCAGAGAATGGCACAGCCTTTCTGCATCACGGTTCCTGAAGTCACATCATGGTCAGTATTCAGTACTGCTCACAGGCAGTGGTGAAATGGATGTATGAGGCTCTAGGTCTGTTTTGCCTAACAGTGCCTAGCATGATGCTTGATGCATACTAGGTGTTCAATAAATATTTGTTGAGTAGTAAATATTTGTTGAGTAGTAAATATTTGTTGAATGGAAAGATAAACAAAGCTGGATGCTAGTTAAAGTGGTCAGGACAGATTTTAATCAGTAATACTGTTGCAGTAGGGAAGAGGTCCAGGTGAAGGGAACTCAACTTAGATTTGTACAGAGATGCCCAGGTACTTTATAGGAAGAATGAGGGAGATGGAAGGGTGTGACAGGGGCCTGAACAGGGTCAGGGAAGTAGAAATTTGTAAAAAATGGAAAGAGGGTTGGTCCATGTGTGAACCCCATCTGGGATTGCTAGCTGGTGCTTTTCCAAGTTGGGCTCCTACCCTCCCACATAGGCTGGGAGACAGGGGCCTATCTTCAGGTGTTGGCTGAACAGCCTATTCTTTGGCAGTCTTGAGCTTTCTTAGGCAGGCACTTTAATGGGGGCTAAGGTCATCCTAGAGATGTGGCCTTGAGCTGTTAGAAACCATGTTAGTGTTTGTTCAAGCCTTTTAATGGGGGAGGAGAGACAGAGGTAGGGCAGAGCAGGGTGCATGAAATGATTTGTGTTGAGAGGCTACAGTCTTTATAGGCCAAGGTTGAGGGCTGGTAGAGAAGTAGACTCAGAGGATCCTGGCTAGAGTTTGGTCAGGGAAAAAGTATTTGCCAATTGCATGGCTTTAGAGTGAATTAAGATAGATGTTACCCATGCAGAAAGAAGGTAACACTTAACTTAATTCAAGTCACTTTCTAACAGCTGGCCTACTGCCAAGAAATGGAACTTTTCAATTTGCTGTCAGTAAACCTGGCTATTACTGAACTCACCCAGCAGTCCTTTAGGAGGAGACCCCAGTGTGAACTGATATCTTCCGGTAGAGTCATTCTGCGCCCACCAGCGATGGCTTTTTGCTGCCTCTCATTCCCCTAACAGCACCAGGCTCCTTTACAGTTTAACACCAGTTGGTTTGCTTCAGAGTTTTGAGCTAATTTCACTTTGCCTCTTTGCAAGGAGAGAGCCGCATTAGCAGACATGAAGCATAGAGGGGCTTTACCTGCTTAGGAAATTAAACGGATTCAAGCAGGATGTGAGACCCATCTCTCGTGAACAGCTCTCCCTACTCCTGTCTGCTCTTGGCCCTGAGTACCATATCCTGGAAGGAGTGGTGAGCAGGAGGGAGGGGGGAGGTTGACAGCGGAGTTTGGAGGGTTGCAACTTCAACAAGACAGTAACCTTTCTCTTCTTCCTCTGGTCCACTGGTGGCCAAGTGACTGCCACTAGTTGAATACCAGGCATGGAGTGTAGTCTTTAAAGAAAGAACAAGCGTGTGGAGTAGAGTGCTTGGTGCCTGGTTTGCTCCATTTCCCATCTCCCCTCACCTGACCCTCAAGCCCTAGAGCAGTGTTTGCAAAAGG